CTAATTAAATAGGAATTATATTATAACAAAATTCTTGTACTTATACTACAAATTATAATACGAGTATATACGTACTTTGTAACTTACCTACCAATAAATGTATATAATACAATGCTATCGCTATACCTACTATAACACGAGTATTAAAAATGAATCATCAATAGAAAATAAATTTTCTGTCCATTAAAAAAAATAACTAAATCCTGCCATTCACGAAACGCTTTTAATAAACTCATAGTTACGTTTAATTTCTTTATAAAAATCATATAAATCTTCCAAATACAAAGTTTAGTATATTTCAATGAGATTTAAAGGAATTCTCTAAGAGCATGACAACTTTATAAGTTTTGGGTGTTTTTTCGCATAGTATTATTGTACTTGGCGATTACTACGCTTGTCGTGAAATGCCTGAGTTTTATCAATGGAGGAACGTAAGATTATATCTACAGGATGTAAAATAATGTTATTTTATGAGTATATTTGTTTTGGTAGCGGTTAAATATAAGTTTTATGCAGTGCTGGATTCAACCTTAGCGCCGCCCCTGGGCACTGGAAGAAATGCCGCCTCATTATCGAAAATTCCATTTTTTTAATTGTTAATTTTTGAAAAAAAAAATTGATTCTCCAAAAAAATGTGCTAGTTATTTTTTTTATTATAATATTTATTTTTTTGAAAAAAAAACCTGAAAATTTGCCGCCCTGGGCATTAGCCTCGAGTACCCCTAGTGTAAATCCAGCGCTGGTTTTATGATTAAAAATTTAAATACTAATGCTTCTAATTATACTAATTGCTTCGTTCAGACTAACTTCATTCCACACGATTCTTTCAGACTTTTTGATCAATAAATATTAAAAGTAATAAAAAAATAATAAAAAAATCTTCAATTTGTGTGTATTTTCGATTTTGTGCGATTTTTTCGGTAATCTTGAATCGCGTTTTATAATTTTTCTTTAATGAATATTTTATACATTACTGCATAATTACTCTTAAGTGATATTAAAGTTAGTTTTCTCTTTTGTTAAATATTGCTATATTAAATTCCCCATAAACTAGGTAGGTACTTGATACTCAAAAATAATGTGACTTGACTATAATTTTCTTTCTACAATGAAACCCACAAATTTTACCGTTTTATAAGACATATTAGCGCATATGCAAGTTTTAAACATCTTAGCTGTTACAGTAAAACTTTTACGCAAATCGGTATATTCAACATAGGATTGCTAGCAACAATGAAACCAAATAAGCTTAAAACAAAGTATATACAAATGTAAAAATGTAAATGTAAAGTATATAAACATGTCGAAAACAAAAGATAAAAATTATAAAATTGTCAATTTCTTAATCTACTTAAACTTATATTTTATCTAATTAATAAATAATAACAGTTTTAAATTAATATCTATTTCATAATAAAATATCAACCTGTATACATTTCGCAATGGCCTGTGTGGTCCACATTTGACCACAAGCGTGTAGCTAAGAACAAAATACGCTATAAATTTAAAAAGGCTGACAACTCATTGTCCTCATATCTTCATTGATGCTACAGACCGATGGACGCCGTACACTTTTTATATATGAATTTTTATGTTACAATGCGTAAATTACGCAATTTTAGTTGAAAACATTTTGACGTTATTACAAATATTACGAGTATTTGATTCATGAAATTATTTTACGAGATACTTATTATAGTTATAAAAAAAGTTGGATTTGTAAAATGTATGTTACTACAGATCATAACCTACTTATTAAAAGCTATCTGGAGCTAAATTTCATCTCAATTCGTCATACAAATTTTCAAATTCATAACAGCACTCCGATTGCTGTTTATTTTATTAACATATATGCAACTGGCTTAACTTCAAATTCTGTACAATATAACGGCATATCAATCACTCAGTCCCGCGATAAAAAGGCGTAATCAAAAACACTCCAAAAACCCAAAATCTTTAAGTCAGTTACACTGTCAAGTTTTTGACGTATCGATATTTGGGATGCAGTGAATTGAGGTTTTTATAAGTTTATATTACAATTTTACCTCCTTTCTATAAACTCTAACGTGCCATATTTTAAAACTTATGTCAAAAGTTAACTCTGGAGAAATATAATAATATAGAAATTAAATTATTATATACTTTTAAACTAAAAACCAACTCAGACTTCAAACACATTAAAAATAATTCAAACAATTTTGTAGGACAACTAGTTATTTCGTTACTCCGTTGCTGCAAATAGAAGTGATAAACTCACATTATGGCATTCTTCATTACTTATTGCGTTTACCTGTATCGCGACAACGTATGAGAGATACCGCGTTTGGTCTAACAGCTGACTTATCATCTTGTACTTCCATCTCGTTCTTCTATGTACCTAAGTCAAATACTTTACAATTCGAACCACAGACTTTAAGTAGTGTTAGAGTTTATTTTATCAATTCAACGTCGTCAAAGTTGCATTCTGCACATCTGCATTCTTATCAACTGTTGAAAATAGTTTGATTGAAAATGTATATAGGTAGCCTATTCAGCCAATGAAAAACGAAGAATACACAACCTATTTTTTAAGAAAGTTGAAAAGGTATACGAGCTTTTAGTTAGTTGTAATAATAATAGCCATATATCGGACCGTATTGTAAATAAACGGCCTAAGATTTTGAAAGTTAATTGGGTTAAATTATACATTTTGTTTTTCCAAACAAATTTTAAGAACATATTTTACAATTTAAAAAACTGGTAACTTTTGTCATATGTATAATAAATTTTTAAAAATACTTTTAAAAAGTTATACACTCAATATCACAGTGTTAATGTGCTTCTAGGTTGGGTTTTATTTCACTAAATCTTTGAATTTACTTCGATAAATAGGTGAGTATGAATAACACATCACATACTATGCACTAAAAAATAAATATGTTGGGACAATAATACACAATACCATCTAGTTCCACGGTAAGCTACGAGGCTTGTGTTGTGGATACCAGATAGTTGATACACTACACATATATAACTCTAAGTACATAGGTACATATTATAAATATAAGCCCATGATTGGAGTACAAACATTCGTGCTCATCACACAAATGAATGTCCCCAACGGGACTCGAACCTGCCGCCGCTGGCACAGCATGTAGGTTTACTGCAAACTGAACCAAACGTGTCGACAAATTAAATAAAAAAAAATTATGCTATTTTTTAGTGAACTAAAAATGAGTAAAGTCAATAATTTAAGAAAAAATAGCACCAACGTTATTAAAGTGATAGCAATCGATCATACGACACGAAAAGTGACATATCGCGCCAAATCCACGGTTCTTTGGGAAACTGTCCAAAACGTATGAAAGCGACGCAATCAAGGCCATTGTATTTGAATAGGACGGACTTGTTTAGATTGATGCTCTCGATCAATTTTGTGGACTTTTTATGATGAACCAGGAAATGTATGATTTTATTATATTTTACAAATTCGCCTTCAAATTCAGTGGACAAAACGCTGTTCAACCTTTGTGCGAATAGCGAATTGTTGTAATACTCACTAAAACCTGTATCATTGGTAAACCACAAAAAAATATTGGATTAATATTATAGTATACTCTAGAAAAATAAAAACAAATCTATCCCACGGAAACCGCACATGTTTTCGGGATACAAAGTAACCTACCTAATATGTGCTATGCCAAGCTATAATCTATCTCTATTCCAAATTTAATCTAGATCCGTTAGACGTTATGGCGTGAAACATCTATACAAACATCCCAATATCTAAACTTTCACATTTATAATATTAGTAAGATTATCTTTGCAATATATACTCGTAAATTATAAAAAATATATATCTTTGTACTACTTTTGTGAGTGTAATATAAAATCACTAAGCTATATTATTATTTTTTACTTAGATTTCGTTAACAATTTGAATCTAGCCGTAATTAATTATTGACTTAATTCTTTATATACCATAGAAATATTTATGAGGTAGGTACATTTTTTGTATTTAAAATGTTGTTTTTCTTTTCGTATAATTTTTGAATGTGGTTATCACATATGCACTTTATTGGTCGTCTATTTATAAATATAATAAATATCAGCCTTATGAATTTATTCATACTAATTTTATCAATCTGTCTGTCACCTTTTCACACCTTAAGAGGATTGTGAACCTGTAAATTTTCATACAAAAAGCGATAACGTTTTTCCCCCCTTAAACATAGTCTAATTTTCATATTACATTATATGGTCAGACATAATCATCATCCCATGTTTCTCGCATCGTAAGTATATATGTATATATAGCCGGGAACAAAAAGTAGTAACTTTATATAAAAATCTGAAAATTCCTGAGTTCAATTCATGTTTATCTATTTTTTATAAGAATTCTTTAGTGCGTTAATAAAAATCCTATAAAACCTATTTCCTTAACATTTGGCTCTGGGAAATTAACTCGTAACATCTCCCATAAACTATAGCCGCATAATGCGTGTCTATATACTTGCATTGTGCATCGCGTGTATGTAACACATAAATCGAGAACCGCAACAATCGAAACCATTAAAACAAACAAGCTAGCAGCTGCGAGGGCCGCGACCACTCAAGCATGGCGCTCTGCCCCCTAGCCCGCCTCCGGACGACGCACAAAAATCAACATAAATAACATTACACACCCCTATCTCAAAGATACATACCTTACCACACAAAAGAGCTACAGCATCAATAAAATATAACAGAAAAATCTATTTTATTACTAGAGAAATAAGGTCTATATCTCCTTTTCGATTTCAAGATTATATGTTAAAACATTCTATATGATTGTAAGTGTGCAACAATTGAAAAATATTTCGTCTCTTTCATCCATTCAATGGTATCGGTTATCCCTCTACTTTTGGGTGCTATTATTAAATTTATTGTTAAAGGAATGTATATAAAAGTTGTTGAAATGAGATAGGGTCCCAGTCTGCCACTTGATCGTGTGTGAGATCCTTCTAATAGTTTTCGCGAAAATGCTATCTGTTCAGCAAAATTATTCAAGGCTTTTTAGGCCTTGGGATGTGAGTGATAACAAAAATGAGATTACAAATGAAATTAGTGATAAAACTGATATAAGAGCAACGAAGTTAAAGAAAATTAAAGACGAAAAACGTGAGAGTCGGTTGAGGAAAATACGCGGTACATTTAAAAAGAGCGACATTAACAATTATCAAGATGCTACTGTATCAACAACCACCCTAGATAACGAAGACGATAAGAAACCAGAGCTAGAAATTCATAAAACTTTAAATATTTCCGATTCCCCAGTAGCAAGCCTAAGTTTATGTTGTGATAGATTACTTCAAGAACCAGAAAAAGTTATCAAGAATGAAAAAACACGAGACAATACCAAGTCACCTATTGATAATTTACCTCCAACAAATATTTTTCCACCAACTACAGTACAACCAAATATGTACAACCATGGCTACATCTCTGAATACTTACCTACTGACATCGCTACCACTCTTGGAGTGCCTCCATCTGACCCTCTCTTACTAGAATCTCTAGCTCAAGGCTACGCTATGGAATTAGAATACGCGAGAATACTTCACCAAGAAAATGAAACGAAGCTGTTAAATGCTAGGAAACAAAGACCGAAAAAGTATAAGTGTCCACATTGCCAAGTCGGATTTTCTAACAACGGTCAATTAAAAGGTCACATACGCATTCACACCGGTGAAAGACCATACAAATGCGACGAAAAGAACTGTGGAAAAAGTTTTACCAGAAATGAAGAGTTGACTAGGCATAAGAGGATACACTCAGGAGTTCGTCCCTATCCCTGTCCTACTTGCGGTAAGAAATTTGGGAGAAGAGATCATTTAAAGAAGCACACAAGGACACATTATATTCAAGCGGAGAGAATGATGCCTGTGTTTGTACCTCTGTCTGCAGTACCTCATGTCGGCGGTTTCCCATATCTATATGGATATTAGACAAACACTATACAGGACCATAAATAGCTAGTAATTCTAGATAAACTGTAACTATAAGTTTAAGTATATTTTTGCATATGGAGAGAAAAAGAAAATTAATTTTGATAAATTAATTTATTTAGGCAAGTGTTCCAATTAATATAAAAAGGATTGTGTGCAAACATATTTTTATACAAATAAATTTTATATTTGAAAGATATATTTTGTGTTATTCGAACAATATACTTTTATAGCAACCTTAAACAAACTCATTGTTAGAATTAGACTATGTTATTTTTAGCAGTCTACACCAGATTAACCGGTGTGTTCCATTTAATTCAAACTGAGTCGAATCTGTTCATAAATTATTTTTTTTGGAAAATCTTATTGAAGTAGTAGTATTACCGATACAGAGGCCGAATCTATAAGCTTTTAGAATTTTTGTCAGTCTGAAAACGCATCACGAAAAAACCACTGAATAGATTTTGATGAAATTGGTATGATGATACCTGTTTAACCGGGTCAACATATAGGATACTTTTTATGGCGGGAAAATATTTCATCTCTGAGAAATCTATAGTACTTTACTATTAGTAAATGTAGCGTAACGTAACGAGGGACGACCCCGAGCGGAGCGAGAGTGAGTTGCTAGTTAGAAATATATACGTTGCTATACAAACTTTGCTATCCTCTTTCATCCCTTAAAGGTTAAATTTCAAAAAAACCCTTTCCTTTAAGAGAAAGATAGGTAGAGAAAATTTACTATCCAATTTAATTACTGTAGAAGAAAATATTTATAAACATTTACGTTTTTAGAGATTGTTATTTGTTTTGGTCGAACGCGGTAGTTTTTTGAATTGCACAGTCAATAACAACAGTCTGACGGAAACGGTCTATTTGCATTTTATAGCATATTTATTAAGTTATATCTATCTAACATCAGGCTCTTATGAGAGGACCAAATAAGTATATAAATAAAAGCAAATGCTAATACTAATATGTAAAAGTCAGCCTTATAACTGAAAATATTTAATACATCTTCGTGTGTGTCGTATTAAAAAAACATAGATACCAATTTTACTACATTCTAATTCACTCAACGAGCATATATTATTAAATAAACAAACAAATATGGAATAACAGAAAAAGAAATATAGCAACCTTTGGCACTTGCCCACTAACCGGTGATTTACGAGTACGTGCTCTCCGTGGCACGGAGGTGAACAACGCTAATTTTTCAACTTCAAATTATTACTGAGAAATTCATGATAAAAATCCCAATAATAAACCTTCGCCGACCCGGAACTCGAATCTAGGACCTCCGGATCTGTAAGTAGACACGCTAGCCACTCGTCACTTGTAACAAGAATAGTGTTAAGGTACATAGTACATGTACGCAGTATGTATCTATGATACTTAATACTTTGAACATGACTTTCTTTTGACTTTGATAAAGAATTCTCATCTAATAAATTAAAGTTTAAAATATTATTACAAACTCGCAAGTGTTCGTTCTTTATAATTAAATTTTTCCGGTAACAATTACTGTGGAAAGTTGGTGAAGTTCCAACTTGGACCACTAATTAAAAAGTTGCTGCTTTATCGCCATGTTAAAGTTTTGAATTGAAAATTGCGACGCGACACTAGTTGCTCTGGAAAAAGTACAATACGGAATGCTTATGATAGCATAGGAGGCGAGCGACCAAAAACTACAAGCATTTTCTTAAAGCCGTTTTTTTAGTATTACGTCACTTTGGTGAAGTAGAGAAGCTTGCTGTCAGTCAGCCGGTTTCGTTAGCGTTTGGCGCGGGGGCGACTTTAATTTTGTAAAAAAACTATACATCTCGCAGCTAACCCCCTGCGTAACTCCACCAATGTGACGTAATATTAAAAAATCTGCCTTTAAAAAATGCTTGCGGTTTTTCGTCGCTCGTCTCTCGGGCTATGACAGAATTGTTATTAATAGAATTCGCCCAGTGATCGAAATTCGATTATATTCATTATTGAAAATTTGAGGAAAACTTATGAACAGAATTTACCTTTCTATGTTAAAAAAAAAGTGTTTTGTGTTGTGATTTTTTTTATTGGTAACACTGAAGCTCGTTATAGCTAGCTACTAAACAATAAAAAAAGAAAATCGGTTGATAAACAGAGGTGAAAAAAAAATATTTCTGATTATATTTAAATTTTGTCTATCAATACATACTAACAAATTAAAACTGATCGTTTGTTTGGTGAGGCCAACGAAAAAGTATTATCGTAAAAAAAAATTAATCTAAAAATATCCTTACTATATCAATTCTTGTTTTCAATTTTATTCAATAATTGGATTCTAAAATATTTAAGCAAACAGATAGACAGACGAGAGACAGACAAACAAAAATCCTAAAAACTATAAATTCGGCCTCTGTGTCGTATTATGTGTATAGATTATAAATTTGAATGTAGCTCTGTTTGTCTGTTTCTTTTTACCTTTAAACTTGAACTGACATGACCTCCTGAGTCCTTTCCCGCTCAGCATTAGAGCGAAACCGCGTGCAAAAACTGATTTGCTTATATTATAAGGTGATAGGTAGGTAGAACGTAAGGTTCACCTATTTCGAACTTAAAATTAAAATACTCTCTTTTTTTCTTATCTTGCGTTTTTTCTGGGTATATTTTCTGCAATTTTAATCCCGCATCGCTCAAAGGCGGCATTGTTCAGGTGAAATTAAAACGATAGCTAAATTTCATTTAAATCAGTTGAGTAGAGGCTTCACCTCATTGTTCTGTACGCTCTTATACAAAGCGGGGATAATTAATAATATCATTATCTCACGGGATACTCTGAGAGGCAGTTCTGCTAAAATCAATTCGATATTCATTCTTCATTTCGATGAGATCAAAAAAGCTAGTGGCTCAAACTGGTGGCAAATAGCACAGGATAGAGAGTAGTGGGCATCTTTGGAGGATGCCTTTACCCAACCTGCGGACCTTGCTTAATGCAATTAAAAAGGTAACCAGAAATAAGTCCTATAGTATCATTTAGTATTAATAGAAAGAGAAATTTAAGTATGTATACCTAGCAATCAGTAAGTAATTAATTTAGTAACTAAGGTGAAAAGTAGCTTGGGCAAATAAAAGGCTTTATTTTATTTTTTTATTATTCAAAAAGGAGCTTTTTAGAAAAAGATTTGGCTTTCACGCTAAATCATCAAAACCCATGAAATTGTAAACAAATTCCCCTTGTAGCGATGCACTCGAGTGAAGCTAAAGTGAGTCAGTAGTATAGGATAAACTATTACAAGGCATCACACGCTTATTTACGATCGACGACAGAATCTACGTAAAACCAAAGATTCTGTAATTTTATAATGTATTTTGTACATATCTACTTTAGGGCAAACACCCGAAGATGTTTTTACAAATACTTCAAAAACCCTCTGTAGACATCGATACATCAAACAGTAAGAAAAAAATTACGCAAGTTTTATTGAATTTTGAGAACGGACTTCCGGGCATGAATGTGGAATGACAATCAATTAGCCGTTGTAAAATATTTTGACTGTACGCTTTGTGACACACTTGTGATTTAAAAAGAATTTTAAGAAATCTAAAGCCATTATAAGAAAATACAATAATATAACTAATAGTTTTATATTTTATTGGTGACAGTTTTATAGGAGTGAGGTGTTAAAAAAAAAGTTGTCGATGAACAACTGTAATAGATATTAGTATCCAAAATATATTCAAACACATAAATATAATATTGTTAAAATTTCAAACCCATAAAAAGTACACTTGAATTGAAAATTAAATAGAATTAAGTCATATTTACACAGAATGTTACAACTGGTTTTAAGGAACACTTTTATTTGAACTTCATGTATATACGTTTAATTAGATACTATAATAGAAGCCACAAAAAGAAGTTAAAAATTCTAGGTATGTATTAAGCTATTCTAATTTTTCAGAAAAACAATCTGCATAAATAAATGAATATGTTTTGTTGGCTGTTTCTGAATGAAGTGTCTAGTATAAAAGCTACTTACTAAATAAAGTAAATAAATGTGACTCTAGCGCAATACCTATGCTTAAAAGCGGTACAAAGTTTTCTCTATCGCGCTTTAATCCATACTTAATATTATAAATGTGAAAGTGTGTTTGTTTGTCCTTCTTTCACATCGAAAGGGAGAGTCGGATTGGCGTATTTTTTTGTGTGGAGATAGTTGGAGGGCTGGAGAGTGATATAGGCTACTTTTTACCGCGGGATATTACCTAATTTCCACAGGAAAACACGTTATAATACAATCCAAAAATATATTGATGATCAGAATTACTTGAAACTTGGTATTAATGCTCTGTAATAAAATTAAATAAATATTTATCATTTTTCGAACTTCATTGTATAAGGGGGTAAAATAGGGGATAAAAGTTTGTGTGACACTACCTTTTTAGATATTTTTTGTAGTATACATAAATACATATTTTTTTATATCTATGTCAAATCGAAATCGCAACCTTCACTCAGATATTCAATGCAGTTCACAACTCTACTAAGTCTAATGGTTATATAAAGCGATGTAAAGTGCAATAAATAATTTGATAGCGCAAATAAGACACTTTCCCACATATATTAGTCGTTACAAATGAAAAAAAATCGGAAGTCCGTCTTATACTACGCAGCATGACTCCCTATTTGTTAATATCCAGGGCAATACGTGATGCCACATATTTATTGCTGTCGTTACATTGTTACGTCTAACTTTGAAATTTTATGTTTAAATCGTTATTTTAAAGTAAAATTCAATGTTATTGTGAAATTAAAGATGAGACAAATAAATTAAATTAATTTAACTCTTGGAAAATCTAAAAGAATGCATATATGCATATTTATATATGTAATGGCTTCCTCTACCTTTTATGGCAACTCCTTTAGTGTTACGGCCTGTCGTCTTTGGAACTCCCTTCCCCGTAACGTTAGGGATGCGAAATCTCTAATGATTTTTAAAAAACGTCTAAAATAACACTTTTATACA